TGAACCCAATTTGCCATTGGCTAGGTGAAAAATCAGAATTTCCCTTGTGCAGTCAAAACCCTAAAAATGACCATTTTGCCCTTTTGATGATCTGATCAAATTTCTTGAGGAGTTGTGGTCCAAACTTGATCAAATGGTTCACATGAGCCTATAATGTTGATGTGGATCAAAAATCATGAGGTTTGACTGTAAATTGACCACAGTTGACTTTTCCCCCAATACAGCTGATTTCTAGGTCAATTGTCCAATTGACTGGGCAAAAATTTGATTCAAAGCTTGAAACTTGGTAGGGAAAATCTTATAAGTCCAAAATGAAGCATGAAAGTCACTTTGAGCATTGGAAGTCCAAAAATACCTGTGCAAACATCAAACACTAATTTCAGGTCAACAGTGCAAGGAGATGTCTTGAGCAGAGCAAACCCTAATTATGTCTGGAGTCCAAAGAGTCTTGTGAGGGGAAATCTTGATAAAATGAGAGGGCAAATTTTGGGGTACAACACATGGAATTATGGAGGGGATGTCTACTACCACGATATCAAGCAATATTGGCCAGATGCAGAAGATTCAAGTTCTGAGAAAGTTAACTCGAATATTAGTAATATTGTAGAGACTAGCAAGATTACCTGAAGAAGAAGGATATTCTCTCCAGAAATTGCTCCCCCAAAAGCAGTTTTTGGACCCGTAATCATTCTTGTTGTTGCTCCTCTAAAGGCTATTCCCATCCCTACAATCATTTCCACTAAATCTCCAACTGACAAACTGATACAACCCCTGTTATCACTCCTACTGACATTCCTGCTGCCGAGTCAACTGAGACTCGAGGTAAAAGTATTCTGATTTAGCCTGCCCAGACGAAGGCACAATCATTGGCTATTCCTGAGACCTCTCGGAAAGATATGGAGGAAATTCTAAAGATCATAAAAAGAAGTGATTACAATGTAGTTGAGCAACTGGGTAAAACTCCATCTAAAATTTCCATGTTGGCTTTACTACTATATTCTGAGGCGCATGCAAAGGCCTTGGTAAAATTCTTGAAAAATGCCCATGTACCCCAAGAAACATATGTTGATTAGTTCCAAGACTGCGTAGCTAGCTTGAATGTAGATAATGGTTTAGGTTTTTCAGATGCTGATTTAACGCCAAGAGGGAGGAAGCATAATGAGGCATTGCACGTCTCAGTTGAATGCAGGGGAACAACCTTGGCTCATGTCTTGGTTGACACCGGTTCGTCTCTGAATGTATTACCTAAAAAGGCTCTTGATAGGCTTGACTGTGAGGGATTGACATTGAAACCAAGCAACATAGTAGTGAGAGCCTTTGACGGCTCAAAAAGGATGGTGCATGGGGAAGTGGATATCCCCATAAAAGTTGGAACCCAAACATTTGATTCAACTTTTTATGTAATGGATATCTGCCCTTCATATTCTTTCTTGCTAGGCCGACCATGGATCCACAATTTTGGCGTTGTTACCTCTACGCTTCACCAAATGCTGAAATATTCAATTCAAGGGGAAATCATCACCGTTCATGGAGAAGAAGAGTATATGATCAGCCATCTCAATTCCTTCAGATATGTGGAGTTAGATGGTGAATTTATTGAAACTCCATTCCAACACTTTGAAGAAGTCCCGCAAGATGCGGCAGTAACCAAGGCTGTGTCTCAAGTTCCCAAGATCACAAGGCATCCACTCAGGATGTCATCTTTGAAGGATGCCAAGGCAGTGATAGAAGAAGGTGGGTGCACTATCTGGGGACAACTCCCAGATATTCCATACAAATCTGATAAGTTTAGTCTGGGTTTCACTTCAGGTGCCCAAAAGACTGTACACCACGCTCGTGTCGGAGGACCACCCTTGAGGATCAACAACCGCGAAGTCAATGCAGTAGAAGATGATGAAGACAGCTACAACCTAGAGGATTGGATTTTCCCAACTGTCAGTGGAGGGATCAACAACTGGGAGGCTAGAGATTTCGTCCCGATCACCTTTATCCCACAGTAATTTATCTTTACATTTTGTTGGATTTGTAATATTAAAACAATTTGGACTCTTAAAACCTTGTGTCTTACTTGAGGCACCAAGGTCCATTTGTAAGGGTTATTATCTCATTTCCATATGACATCAATGAATCATGGACGTTTTTGCATACAAACTTTATGCTCATTTGTTTTTCTTTTTACATTTTCATTTCTTTCAAAGATAGTTATACTCTTACACACACTCACACTCACAATGCAGGTCTACATCCATTCGGGATCCCATGGGTAACAGTTCTTCTATGGCCTTCTGTGACTCCTAAAATCTAATCTACCAAGCCGAAGATGAAGGTGAGGAAGATTATGAAGTACCGGGAGAATTTGCCAGGTTACTACTACAAGAGGAGAGAACCATTCAGCCTCACGAGGAACCGGTGGATACGATCAACCTAGGTACCGAATAAGACAAAAAAGAGGTCAAGGTGGGTGCTAATCTGGAACCCAGTGTCAAAGAGCATATGATTCAGTTGCTACACGAATATGTTGAGGTCTTTGCCTAGTCGTATGAAGGCATGCCAGGACTTGATGCAAATGTTTTGGTACATCGTCTACCTACAAAAAAGGACTGCCCACCAGTGAAACAAAAGGTTCATCGAATGCGACCAGATATGTCACAAAAGATTAAAGCTGAAGTCATGAAACAATTCAACATTGGATTCTTGGTCGTCACCTCCTACCCGCAGTGGGTTGCCAATGTTGTTCCCGTTCCCAAAAAATACGGAAAGGTAAGAATGTGTGTGGACTACATAGATTTAAATAGGGAAAGCCCTAAGGATGATTTTCCACTTCCCCACATTGACATCCTAGTTGACAATACAGCACAACACAAACTGTTTTCCTTCATGGACGGTTTCTCAGGTTATAACCAAATTGAAGAAGTGAAAAACACAAGAAGGGGGGGGTGAATTGAAACTTAAAAACAAAAGCAGTAGACACGATATTTTTATCTTGGTTCGTTTGATCACAAACTACTCCAGTCCACCCGCCAAGGTGATTTTGCCTCTCTCCAACAAGGACATAATTCACTAATCAAAACTGGTTACAATACTACTTTGACAACTGCCAAAGTCTTCTTGAGTACAACCACACCCCGGTTTATCTCAAGGAAAACTAACTTAATCAAAAGAAAATAGTTTATTGTGTACTGTTGTTTTTCGTTACAAAAACTGTATCACTACTGTGATTTTACACAATTTGAGCGTATAAGAGAATGTGAATATTTGCAAGGTTTTAGATGTATGAGCAGTCCTGTCTCAAAAATTGTAAACGATTTGTCCTTTAAGCTTGTTTATATAGCGTGGAAATCTTGTCCAAAATAAAGCGTGATGATGGACACTTAATGTAATTTCCATATTGAGAAGATTGTTATCTGAATGAAGTCGTTGCATATGATACTGTCTTAATTTAAAAGTAATGCTTCAGAACTAGAATCTTGCATGTTGCTTTTACTTCAGAACTTTGATGACTCTGAGATGTGAAGATCTGATGGTATATTGGACTTCTGCTCAGAGTCAGAGTATTTTATACTTTAACGCAGATTCTGATCATCATTCTTCAGAACATTCTGATTAGCTCAACTTGAAAGCTTATGTAGCTTAACTTCTGATGTTGTTTCAGTCAGAACTTTGGCATACAAAATAACACAAATTTAGAGTTCATATTTGTTCTTAGTGTTTGTTATCATTAAAAATCTAATTAAGGGTTGTAGAATCAAGCTATGTTCTAACAATCTCCCCCTTTTTGATGATGACAAAAACTAGGATTTTCAATAAAAAAAATATAGAACAAAAAGCTTAAGAGAGACTCCCCCTAAGTTGATTACTCAGATAGAGATGAATTACTTCCCTGAAGTTCCTTCTCGTCAGAGCTTTTGATGCATCTCCTTCTGTCTTTATCAGAATATATTCCTGTTCAAGCTTTCAGAAAACATAGAAGTTAAGATATTCAGAATGTTTGAGACTTTTTCCTGGTATACTGTTATTGAAAATATCTTACATTCTCCCCCTTTTTGTCAGGTATCAAAAAGCAATATAATCAGAGTCAAAAAGATGATTTATATTGAAAGCAGAATGCAATGACATTTTTCAGAAACAAAGAGGATAAGATGAAAAATACAGATAAAAAGTTAAAGAAAATCTAAGAAGGAAGGGGAAGGTGTGTGAACAACGCTTCCAGCAAGATCTTAATCCGAGTGCTTGATTCTTCCTGCTTTCCCAGAATGTCTTTAATTTCTTTTGTTGTATCTTTTTGTTTGTCCAAAATATACTTGATCTCTTTGTTTGTGCCTTCTTGCTTATCCAGTCTGGCATGGATTAAAGCATTCTCCTTCTTCAACTCTTCCAGAGTTTGCATGACTAGAGACGAAGCTGGTGTATCTTCAGGGGTTGCATGTCGTTCAGAACATTCTGCAACCTCTTCTGATTGAACAACTTCTTCTGTTGCAATCACTACAAGAAAATTGGCAGATTGCGACAGGTATTTTTGTAGATTACGACGGTTAAAACCGTCGCAATTTGCTTTCCATGACGGTTGCTTTACCGTCACAGAAGTGTGTGTCCCCAACCTATTTCGCGACGGTTACAAAAACCGTCGTTCAAGTTTACGACGGGTTGATATCGTCGTGACTATCTTTTGAGTTTCTTTTAATTATTGGTGGCGACGGTTCGATACTGTCGTGAATATCTTTTGAAATTGATTAAATTGTTTATGGCGACGGTTCGGTACTGTCGCCATGACTTTTGTTTATGTCTTGATTTTTTTTTATTTTTCTATTATATATATTTTTTATTTAAATTATTATCTATGTAAAAAATTTTAAATATAGGTTTTTATTGTGTTATTTTTTTCTTTAAATTATTTCTTCTTTAATATATTTATTTATAGTATTATTTTTTGTTTTATTTTCTATCACTTTGTAATATAGTAAAAATAATTTCAATAAAAAATATTTAACATCAAATAAGCATTATAATATCCAAAAAAATGTGTGTTCCATAATCATGTAAAATGCGAGTTCCATAATCATGTCAAGTAGTACAAAAAACCCAAAATATATCAAACTACAAGCTTTATCTAGCATTGCATGTCCCGGTTCACTTCCTGTAAGAACATGAGAATCAGCTGTGCTCTCTAACACGGGAGAAATTTTTTCAAGGTTGATCTTCTTCTGGCAGCCATCTTGTAGATCCAGAGACTGAAAGAGGAAAAAAGGGATTAAAAAGCCTGATTATAAGGAGGAAGTTACAATACATAAATACAATGGTGACACTAAATTGGAATTTATCTCTGACCTGTCTAGGAGTAGTAGGTGTATTTTGCAGAGTTCTACATTTATATGTTTCATCAGCATTAGTGTGAAAGCTCCAACCACGTAAATGTATAGAACGATGCAACTCATTCACAAATGAGGCCTCTAAAGAACTCAGATATAATTTATGCAGTTGATCTGTCCATCGTCTAGACTTGTCCTGGTACAAAATTTTGAATTAGGTATATCCTTGCCAACTAAATGAAATGAAAATAAAAGCTTCTAAATTCACAAGCAATCAAAAACAAGGTCCAAGGACGGACACAATTTATTAAGCAAAGACACGTGGAAGACAGGGTGTGTCTTTGCTGTGGCTGGTTGCTGCAGCTTGTAAGCCACCTCTCCAATTCTAGCTAGCCAGCAACATAAATGGACCATAATAACGTGGAGCGAACTTGGGACTGATGCGCACCTCTACTGACTGCTGAACACGCGGATGCAATTTCAGGAAAACCCAATCACGAACTTGAAACTACATCAATCCTGTGAGCATCAGCTAAAGGTTTCATTCTAACTTGAGCACGGTGCAAATGAAATTTCAACTGGCGTAAGCACTCATCAAGATCCATTAAATCCCTTCAATCAACAATATGTAGGTTTTTTCAGTTCATACCGTTGAAAGTTTCAGTTCATATGTGAAACCAAATATTTGATAGACATAATCAATGAAGTCCAAGGCTTTTCTCACTTCATCTTTAACCTGCAAAATGAATTAATAGAATAATTTCAGCTTCAGCTTAAAAGATATCATAAAAATTATATTACATAAATTTACGTTAACACACCTGGGACTCCCTGCAGAAAATATGTGCATCATCCTGTCCAACACACAAAGTAAAGGGCATAAACAATACAGAACTAATAGTATAGAAAATAGAAGTTAAAGACAAGGTGATAATCAGTCAAAATAGCTTGCAATGTTCCTCCTATTGTAATTGTACCATACCTTTAGATAAATGAAGAATATCATCATGAGAAGAGAAAATTTGATAATTTATCTACACTAACTCACATCCACATAGGGAATATAAGAGTGGCTTCGCTTGGTGGTAGGGTGGAGGAGATAAGGACGGGAGTGAAAAGGAGGTTGGAGGTCCGATCCCCATCCAAACATAAAACTAACATTTTTTGTTTTAAAAAATACTACCATTCACACCATAAATACAACCCCACAATTGGGGTGCTCCAATATTCACACCATAAATACAACCCCACAATTGGGGTGCTCCAATATTCAGACATGAGGTGTTAGTGCTAATCTTCTAAAGCAATCACAACACTGGTTGGAGAAATGCAAGTGAGTCTTTTAACCACCAGCTGCTTAGTTGGCATTCCATAAGCTATACCATACTCATCCCAACCACTTTTCACAGCCACACAGTCATCCCCGGACACTATATAACAGTCCTCAATCCGCGTGTTCGTGCAAGAGTCTGTGCCATAAACCATAAACCACAATCAGTCCCGGATATACTAGACTATACATCGCAGCATCTTGAAAAAGATGTATATACTAACTTAACTTACCAGGGTTGATCCCATCTGTATTTGGCGAATTCACAGGAGCGAGAATTGTGATGCCTCGAACAACAATGTTGCTGCATTCAATTTCTTTATATCAGAAAACTCAGAACAATAATGTAGCAGATTGATAATTGATAACAGACACCACAAAGAGAAAAAGATGAACCTGCTATAAACAGGATGAACATTCCAGGATGGAGAATTAACCAAAGTCAGATTCGATATCTGAATATCATCTGAGTGCATGATTTCAATCAGGTAAGGCCTGGTATAACTAAGCTCCCCCTTATGGAACTTTTGCCACCACACTTCACCTTGTCCATCTAATGTTCCATTGTCCCCTATTCAAATTCATAGTTAAAGCAACCGAATTTTAGTTCCCAAAAGCATAACCGGATTGTACAGTTCAATCTTCAATTACACAGAAATAGCAGGCAAACTGACAACAATCATCGATCTTATAAGTTACCTGTTATGACTATATCAGTGAGGTTGGTTCCAAAAATTAGACTGCTATATCGTCCGCCTTGAGTGTCCCTCCCTCGACCATAAGACGGTAAGGGCTCAATCACCGGCCACTCACTTTCGTCCTAAAAAGTCACATCACGAACATAATATCAACATTCAAAGCACTTCAATTACATCACATTTGCATATTCATATAGATGTACAAGACTAGTTAAGCTAATAATCAAACCTGAGAGGCAAGAATGACTGCATCTTTGTGTAGGAACAAAGTGAAATGACTGGTGAGATTGAAACTACCAGTCAACCATCTTCCTGGTGGAACATAAAGTTGAGACCCGCCGTTCGACGAGTACTGACTCAGATGATCTACAGCCGTCTGACGAGTACTAAATAATTCACTTACCTCACAAAGTAGGGATATACCCAGCAAGATTATAAACACTCAGTGACAAAGATCAAATGGAATTAAACACTCAGTCACAAGATTATGAACACTCAGAACCTATAACCTTTTTAACACAGACCTGTCATTCAGGTTTACTGCTCAAGTTTGAATTCCAACTCAAATCATATCTCTGCTCCCTTAATCAATCTATGCAAAACTATTTATCAGAATTTAGAATTTAGAAGACATCATATACCTGTACATACTCTTCCAGACTTCCAGGTAAACTGTAATGAATTACCTAAACACAGTTATGACAATGGAGTTTCAATAAGAATTATTGTAACACACAAGACCATTCACATTTCAAAGCAAATGAGGTAGTGTTAAAAACAAAGATAAAAGTGACTACAGATTGCAGAGTGGTTCTAAGAAAAACAGCCTTACGTAAAATGTGGCTATCAGAACATTTGCATTAACAGAGACGAAGTAAAGAGCTCAGTTCTCCATTACCATTTACCCCCATTTTGCAATTTGAAATTTCTAACAATAAATAACTTTTGAGAAAAAACTCGATTGTTTCTGATACAACTAGATAACAAAGGTCTAAAACATAGACACAGAGAAAGCGGGTCACCTTGCAACAAGAGCACAATGAGAAAAGTGGGTCATCATGCAAACTAATGCAAAAATAAAATATAATATAAGACTTACTGCTCCAACATCTCTTTTATCTAGTCCCATACCAAATGCCACAGTTGCAACAACCTTCATAAAAAAAATTGCAAGGTATGAGTTGGACTAGCAATGTTGTATTAGAAGCATTGCACCATAAAATTGATAAATTGAGTGATTAAAACAATAAAATAAATCTAACCACTCTGATCTTGTTTGAAGCAAACAACTCCTGTACGTTGCCACGTTCCTTTGCAAAAATACCACTATGATAACTCTAAATGATGATTCAAATCAATTGTCAGATTTCACATACAGTGACGTGGGTTACACTTACACAGAATGCCATGCAATGTCAAAAAGTGAAATGTGGAGCTTACCTTTGCCGAGATATTGTTATCATTCAAGTATCTGCTAATTTGATCAGTTTCAGACTGAATAAAAAAAAATCAATTATCGCATATATAAATATATATGATAATATGATATCCACTGCAAAATAACATTACTTGCAAACTTAAGTAATTAGACACATACTAAACCTGAAACATAAAGAACTTAATAACTTTTACTTTGCAAACAAGGTTGTACATTTCAAATATTGTGGTTGTTGTTGTTGTATAATGCAGATGACTATATAAAACAACATAACTCTGAAATCAAGTACCAGAAAATTTGGAAAATGAAGTCCATATACACACCTGAAATTTGCAGTATACTATGATGCCTTTAACATCCGCAAAAGGAGGAGACTTTATCAGAACCAGTAGGTCTTTCATTCTATCATTGATGCATACGTTTAACAAAATCAGAGAAGGAAAGTTAAAGGGAGTACAGTCAGAAGCGGTAAAATAGAAGCATCTGACTTGCCTATTTTTTATCAAAGACGCCGACAAACGCAAATTGTCCCTTAAGTGTGCATTCTGAATAAGATTTGTAAAAGGAATATCTAGGGCAGACATGATGGCATCTAAGGTTGTGGTTGTAGCAGTTGCTGTCATTGCGAGAACAGAACCTACATTAAGACTTCTATGAAGTAGTGATGCTCTAAGTCTCATGAATGAAGGTCGGAAATTGTGAGACCTGTAAAAAAATCTCAAAATCTAAATATCAACATGGAAGTAGATGCATACAAAGTGAGATCTCCAAATTAACAACATGATTTGGAAGAATTTGCTTAGACAATGCGGCACTGAAATCCCTCACCATTCAGATATACAATGTGCTTCGTCAATAACAACGAGTGAGACAGCTGACCCAGCAGAGATAGCAGACAGAAACTCCTTATTCAAAAACCGCTCGGGTGAAACAAAAAGCACCTGGATGAATTAGAATTTCTAAAATTAGCTTCAGGTAAGTAATGGTACTAACAACATTGACATAATAAATAAACCCACCATGCTTGTAACTTGTATTGCTCATTGAATCGTGAATAAATTGGGGTTTTAGGGTTTATTATTGGTGATTGGGTTTAATGTCGATATGAATGCTTGTTGTGATGTTTGAATCACAAAGAGCTCAACCCTAAGATTCATGTGAATCTCCAATGGTGAAATCAATGTTAAAGAATGAGAGAGATATGTGAAGATGAGAACAAAGAAAAAGTGTTATAGAAAACTTACCGGTTGGAAGATGAGAGATGTTCGAAGAATAGTGACGCAGGAGGACATTAGAATGTATCAACTTCATAGAATATATAATAATGCATAAACTTAACCTTAACAAGAGAGAACTTAAATATACATAACAATTATAATTAGATAAAATATATAAGTTAGCAAGAGATTTTTAAAGGTTTTGGGTGCGACGGTTGTTTTACCGTCGTGAAATGAATTTTAGGACGGATAATTTTACCGTCGTGAAAGGTTTAAGGGTGCGACGGGTGCTTTACCGTCGTGATATGCCTTTTAGGACGGTTAATTTTACCGTCGTGACTAGTTGTTGGTGAAAAATCAATGTTAAAAGTGTTAAATGGGGGCCGACGGTTGTTTTACCGTCGTAATAATAATATTATGATGGTTAAATATACCGTCGCAAAATAAATATTAGGGACGGTTGGTGTCAACTGTCGTAAACATTGTCGCTATATGTCAATTACGACAGTTATCACATAACTGTCGCAATTTTTGTGTCGTTAAACACTAATTTTCTTGTAGTGAATTACCTTTTATGGAGCAGTAGTCAGAGGGTGACTATCATAATTTGGTTCAGTGGCTTCTGAAAGTGGGTGCTCTTTCCAAGGAGCAATTTCCATCAGAAGAATTTATTTCTTGTCCCAGTGGCTCAGAACTTGATCTTTGAAGGCTTTCAGCTGATCATTGAAGTTTTGTTGAGCCATCTCATAGCTCAATTCTTTCAACTTCTGGGATTCAGCGTTGAACCATTTTCTGAATCTATCCCACAGAGAATTTTAAGGTTGTCGACCAGAGTGAGCAGAGTTCTGATGGGCTCCTCATATTTTTCAGTTGATGAAGAACCAGGAGCACTATTAAGATTCTTGAGACTTGATGAGGATGCCATTGTTCACACGAATTCTTTGAAGAAAACTGATAGAAAGGGTTTTTGAAAAACTAGAGCAAGAGAGAATATTGAAGGTGGTAAAACGTGAATGAATGAAATAGTGAATTGAGTTTATATAAGCACTTTTGAAAACGTAATCAGTAAGAAAGAGAAAAATACGTAATAATTATACTAAATTAGTGAAACCTGAAATTAGGGGATTTAGTGAAATATTGAACAGTTACCAATGACAAGTGTCTCAATGCATCCAATCAGAGCCTTGGATCCTTCAGAATTTGAACGCGTGTTCAGCCTTAGAAGGTAGCTTGTGAAAGGATGACAAATGTTTGATGGTGTGAACTACATGCCTCTATCCTTGAAATGAAAAGTTCAGATCTTCATAGATAGATTCTGAGGCAACTGTATTCTTAACTTCTGAAGACAAGTTGATCAGATGTTCACAGAAAACAATAACATTCTGAGGGTTAGAATATGTAAATAAAACATTTTATTTTGGACAAAATTTCATGCTGAGATGTTTCAGAATGAAATTGAATCTATCTTCAGAAAGGGGTTTTGTAAACACATCATCCCATTGATGGTCTGTGTCAATAAATTTTTAAGTAAGAATTCCTTTCTGAATATAGTCCTTAATAAAGTGATGTTTTATTTCTATATGCTTAGCCCTAGAATGCAAAATGGGATTTCTAGATAGACATATGGCAGAAGTGTTATCACAGAAGATATGAATGTTACTCTCAAATATGTTGAAGTCTTCAAGTTGACTTTTCATCCAGAGCATTTGAGTGCTACATCCAGCAGCTACTATGTATTTAGCTTCTGCTGTTGACAATGCTATTGTGGAATGTATCTTGTTGGTCCATGAGATCAGGTTGTCTCCCAGAAACTGGAAGCTTCCAGAAGTTCTTTTATGCTCTACTCTATCTCCAGCAAAGTCAGCATCACAGTATCCTACTAAGCTGTATTCATTGGATTTTCTATAAAACAAGCCCAGATTAGTAGTACCTTTCAGATACTTAAAAATTCGCTTAAATGCTGTTAAGTGAGATTCTCTAGGATCTGATTAGAATCTAGCACATAAGAAAACACTGGATAAAATATCAGGCCTTGAAGTCGTAAGATAAAGGAGAGATCCAATCATACCTCTGTAGATTTTCTGTTCTACCTTTTTACTTACCTCTTTCTTTTCCAGAATGCACGTGGGATGCATTGGAGTCTTTGAGGGCTTACATTCTGAGAGGTCAAATTTTTCAGAAGTTCTCTGACATATTTGCTCTGATGAATGTAAGTTCCTTATGGAGTTTGGTTTATCTGAATTCCCAGAAAGAATTTAAGTTCCCCCATTAAGCTCATCTCAAACTCTTCCTGCATGCACTTAGCAAATTCTCTTCCCAGAGAAGGTTTAGTGGATCCAAAAATGATATCATCTACGTAAATCTGACAAACTAAAATTTCATTCTTAAATGTCTTACAGAACAGGGTTGTGTCCATTTTCCCTCTGGTGAATTCCTTTTCTAACATGAAGTTACTTAGCCTTTCATACCAAGCTCTGGGAGCTTGTTTCAGACCATAGAGTGAATTATTTAGTTTGAAAACATATTTTGGGTGTTTGGAATTTTCAAACCCAGGGGGTTTGTGCACATATACCTCCTCATCAATGTAACCATTTAAGAATGCACTTTTGACATCCATCTGATATAGAGTGGTGTCATTATTTACAGCAAAAGAGATTAAGAGTCTGATAGATTCTAACTTGGCAACTGGAGCAAAGTTTTCTGTATAGTCTATCCCCTTTTGCTGACTATAACCTTGTGCCACTAGTCGAGCCTTGTTTCTGATGACTTCTCCTTTCTCATTAAGTTTGTTTCTGAACACCCACTTTGTTCTAATAACGTTGAATCATTTTGGTTTGGGAACCAGATCCCATACGTCATTTCTGGTGAACTGGTTTAATTCCTCCTGCATTTTCAAAATGCAGTCATTGTCCAGAAGAGCTTCATCAATTGTTGTTGGTTCAATCAGTGAGACCAGTCCCATGAGGGATTCTTCAGAGTTTATGAATGTTGATCTCATTCTGATTAGATCATCCTTCTTTCCCAGGATCTTATCTTCTGGGTGAGCTATGCTGCTTCTGGATAACCTTTTCTGGAGTTGATCAACAGAAGGTACTGAAGCACTTGTAACATTTCTTTCTAAAGTTGTTGGAGCGTCTCTGTTAGGAACTTCTGATGAGTTGTCTTCCGCACCTGTGAATTCAACTTCTATATCTGCAAAAGATTCATTCTGCTTTGACTTTTGAGGGTCAAGCTTATCATCAAATCTAACAATGATTGACTCTTCAACAATCTGTGTTTCTGTATTGTATACTTTGTACCCTCTTGAGCATTCAGAGTATCCTAACATAATACATTTCTGTGCTTTATAGTCAAACTTGTTCAGATGATCTTTAGTATTCATAATAAAGCATGTGCATCCAAAGGGATGGAAATAAGAAATGCTTGGCTTTCTGTTCTTCCATAATTCATATGGAGTCTTTTCCAGAATAGGTCTTATAGAGATTATATTATCAATATAACATGATGTGTTAATTTCTTCTGCCCAGAAGATCTTAGCAATGTTAGTCTCATTGATCATGGTTCTGGCAATTTCTTGCAAATTTCTGTTCTTTCGTTCTACAACTCCATTTTGTTGGGGAGTTCGAGGACAAGAGAAGTTATGCGAAATGCCTTTTTCATTAAAAAATGTTTCAAATTTTTTATTTTCAAATTCTCCACCATGATCACTTCTGACTTTGACAATTCTAAGATCCTTTTCATTCTGAACTTGGTTACAGAAGGCAACGAACACAGAATGTGACTCGTCCTTGTATCTTAAGAACTTTACCCATGTCCATCTGCTATAGTCATCTACGATCACTAACCCATACTTCTTTCCATTTATAGACGTAGTTTTCACTGGTCCAAATAAGTCTATGTGCAGAAGTTCTAATGGCCTAGAGGTGGAAACAACATTTTTAGCTTTAAAAGCAGGTTTTGCAAATTTTCCTTTCCGACATGCTTCACACAGAGCATCGGAGCTGAACTTTAGATTAGGAAGTCCTCTGACCAGATTGAGTTTATTAATTTGAGATATTCTTCTCATACTAACATGCCCCAATCTTCTGTGCCAGATCCATTGCTCATTGTTAACAGAAAGAAGGCATTTTACATTCTTACTTTTCAGTTCATAAAGTTTTATCTTATAAATGTTGTTTTTCCTCTTTCTATTAAATAGGATAGTTCCATCTTTCTGACTAACAGCTTTGCATGAATTTTGATTAAAGATTATATCATAACCGTTATCACTTAATTGACTTATGGATAACAGGTTATGCATCAATCCATCAACTAAAAAAACATTATTAATAGAAGGAATATTACCATTACCTACTGTTCTAGAGCCAATGATCTTCCCTCTTTGGTTGCCTCCAAAGCCCATGTAGCCTCCAAGTTTAAGTTCCAGGCATTGGAACATATGCTTTCTTCTCGTCATGTGTCGAGAGCATCCAGAGTCCAGGTACCATGACTGGTGTTTTAGCCTTGCTGCTAAAGATATCTGCTACATATATAATTTTTCCCTTAGGTATCCATATCTTTTTGGGTCCTGGTTTGTTAGTTTTACCAAAATTCTGTTTGAATTTTGGTTTGGTAGAATAATCATTACTAGTGTATATAATGTCATGTGTGTACCCGTATGTGAAGTGTGATTTTAGTTGTGTGCGTTTTATAACAAGGTCCATGACTTTCTTAGATGGAGATACCTTACCTTGGTGTCCTATTCCTTTTCTTCCATTTCTGCTAACTCCATAGATCATTGAAGCCATCTTGCTTCTATCTATGTTTTTAGCCACAAACTTCTGAAAGCTGTGATCATACTCTTTGATGATCTTATCAACATTACTGGGAGTCTTTGAGATTATTTCCTTCTGAGAGATTTGTAAATCATTTTCTAATTTTAAAATCTTTTATTTTAACTCAGAATTTTCTAATCTAAGACTCTCAGTTCTTTCAGAGTCAGAGACAAGATCCTTTTTCAGGTTCTTGAATTTGACTCTGATATGCTGATACCCTTCCAAAATTTCATTCAGACTTTCTGTAAGTTCAACTTTAGT